AAAATGAATAAATTCTTCCAGTCCATTAAGGAAAACGATTGTTCAAAGGAAAGGGGATAGAAAAGGGTCTTGGGGAAGACATAGAGGGATCCCAGAGATAGTCTGGTAGAACAAAAGGAATGAAGAGCTGGGGTATTTTCCACACTAGAAGACTGGCCACCAGTAGTCCACTCTGTGGGGTCAGAGCTTGTGAGAGATTGAGACGAGCCAAAAGCAGCTGACAGGCACAGGCAGGAACAAAACTTGGGAGACTGACTTGGGAGTGTCATAGTTTGGGGATGCCTAGAAACAGTGGGTCAGGCTCTTAGAAGCTAGATGCACAATCTGGAAACATAAATAAGGGTAAGGGTAAAGCAATAATAATACAAGGGTCGCCTGGGTTCTTCAGTTAAGTATCCGACTTCGGCACAGATCAGGATCTCCCTGTTCATGTGTTAGAGCCCCATTTTGGGCCCTGTACTAGCAGCTCAGAGCCTGGAGCCTGCTTCAGATTCTGTGTCTCCCTCTCTCTCCGCCCCTCCCCCACTCATGGTCTGTCTTTCTCTCAGAATAAATAAACATTAAAAAATATAATAAGCCATACAGCAAAAAGCACACGGATACCAGAGTGTTAGTTTTCTGTCATTCTTTTATCTTTATCCACATAATATTTGCCACAGGAATACTGAACAACCTATAGCACTGGGAACATCAAGAGCTTGTGTTCTTCTATGCACCTGAGTAGTTTTCTCCCATTGCCTCCCCGGGATATTCGTAGTCATTCTTCAAAATCTCCACTTAGATATTCCATGCTCTTTGTTGCTTTCCATGTTCCCTGTTATACTTGCAGAGACACTTTGAGTTGTAAGTGACAGAAAAGCAAGTTTGAGCAAAAAAAGAGAAATTTGGGGCTGATATTAATGAAATGCCAAGGATAGAGATGATTTAAGAATGGCTAGAATTAGGAAAAGTGATTCATTAGGGCTCTATCTTTTTCATTTGCTTTTTTCCATAAGGCAGAACTGATAGTTAACAACCATCTTGATCATATCCTATAAGCTTATCTCCCATAGGAAAAAACGAATCTTCCCCCTCCCATATCTTACTGCCAGAAACATCTGAAGAAATATTGTGATTGCCCTGGCTTGGATCATGTACCCATGATATGCCCTGAGCTCTGGCACCCTGATAGTCTTTCTATCCTTCCCTAGGATAGTTTTCCACTGAAAATCTAGGATATTGTTAACAAAAGAAATATCTAAGAGACGCTGGGCATTTAAAAACAAATGTCAACAAACAGTTGACAAACCATAGTTGATCAATTAAAACTATTGTGAGACAGTTCCTCTTGACCAGAGTTCCTTAGGCCTTCAGTGGACTGATACAGTGAAAATGTATATGAATCTTTCCTGGGAGGGGTACAGACCCTAATGATATACAAAGGATTCCAGGGTGGGAAGGTGACAGTACTTGGAAAGGAAATGCTTTCTACCCATCCTCACCAACTATTAATTAATGAACCCTGACTTAAGACAACCCAAAGTGCAAAGCCATGTGAGACAATGGACAGAGTAGAACGTTTCAAGACAAGGAGTTAACTCTAATTGGATTCCTACTTACTTCTCATCACACTCTGCTTATCCCAGTTTAATCACTTGTTAAGAGTAAATCATAAAAACTATTTTGTAGATGAAAACACTTTTTAGCACAGTGCTTGGCTCGTGGTGAGTTTCCAGTATTTTGCTGCAGTGATGTAACAACTGGGTAAGCCTCAGAGACTACCCAGAAGTGATTCCTCCTACCAGCCATGCCATCCCAGTTGTAGTAGGCCATGCTGTTGAGTAATGAGCGATCCAGACACATCATTGCACCCTCGTTTTTACAGCATTCCCTGTTCGTGAGAGCCCAGAGAGTGTTTGGGGGCCATCAGCTTCTTTTCATTATGCTTGTGCTTGTAAGCTGGGTCTCAAGCCATCTTCCTCATTTGCTTCTCAAGCTGGCTGGGAGAATTTCCTACAGAAGCCTGTGCTGGGACCCTTGCGATTTCTAGGTGATCATCTCTGCCCCATGAGCACATCAAAGAGGGGGCCCTCTTCCAAAGTTGCATTCACAGGAGAGAACCTCTCACTTGTTCCAGTGTGAAAGAAAGAAATCAAGATTATTAGTACCTACAATTAAATCAGATGCTGAAGCTTTGCTTTCATAACTACTCAAGATAATTTGTTATTGGGCAAAAATAGAACAGAATAAAATCATTTAAGAGTGATAAAAAATGCACACTATTCTACATCTGTTCTTCCATTTCAAAAACATAATTTGGGGGTTTGATGAAAAACAACAAAAAAGTAGAGTTTGCATGTTAGTGATTGAAAATGATGTCTTTCTTGAAACTGTCATGTGTATACTGTAAAAACACTTGAAGTTTATTATTTTTTAACATGGCTGCACAATTGTATTTGCAGAGTGTTTTCAATATGAATTTGGTGTTTGACTTTTTTTTATTATTAAGGTCATTAATTCACTGAGTCATTCAGTAAAACTTTATAGAGTGCCTGCTTTATTTTAGTCACTAGGCCATATCTAAAATTTATCTGAATTACTAAACAGATAGAAATTCCTCTGTAAACAGCTAAATTTGGTTTGCATGTTTTTTAAAAAGGTCTCTCTTCACCTCTAAGTAACTGGTGGAAAAAAATGCCTACAATTTTTAAATTTATTATTACCTTTGTCAGCATATCTTTTTTAATTTTTTAAATCTTTATTTTTGAGAGAGAGAATGAGAGTGAGAGCAGGGGAAGGGCAGAGAGAAGGGGAGACACAAAATCCAAATCATGCTCCAGGCACCGAACTGTCACCATAGAGCTTGACGTGGGGCTTGAATTCACAAAACATGAGTTCATGACCTGAGCCAAAGTCAGACGATTAACCTATTGAGCTACCCAGGCACCCCACAGCATGTTTGTTAAGTCATGGATGTTAGTGGAATGTTACCATACAATGTTTGCATTTTTAAAATTCATAATAAAATTCCATTATGTATTGATGGTAATACAATATTATTCTCGTATTCAAGAGACAAGATGTTAAGAATGTAATACAAAAATGATATACCCAAGGACTATATTACATGTGTTCCTTTGATGTAATTCATTTCTATGTTAACTAACATCAGAGAAATGTCTCTGTGGGTTCCCACACACTTTAAATCTTTCTCTTTTGTTATTTCTGAATGAATTAGGTTTACATTCTTTGTTTATCCCTATCCATTTAATATTCAAATCAACACATTTTTATTGAAGAAAATAAACCTTGCACATTATAATATGATGTGCTGCTGCATATGAAAATGTTGTTTTCAATAAGGTATTCCTTTGAAAATTATTTTCCCCTAAGATATTATTAGGACTTCTGCTAGCTAAATAAACAAAGTGATTAAATTAAGAACAAGTAGATTTTAATAAATAAAATACACACAGAAATAAACAGGGACATTGTAATAAGTGGTTAATGGCAAAGCACGTTTTCTCTGAGGAGTGGTATTTCAGCTGAATTTTGAAAGCTGGGATTGTGTCAAACTGTGATCTGAGTTGGGGAAGAATGTTTCAAACATGAAGATTAAGCTCCTAAATTCTGGGTGAAAAACAGCCTGGTATATTTGAGAGACAGAAATGAGGCCATTGTAACTGAAGGGATCATGCATAATGTTACTGACTTTGTTAAGAAGTTTAAAGTTATGCTATAAGTTATAAATTGGGAAAACATTGAGGTTGTTTAGAAAGCAAGGAGTGATGCAATATAACTTTCATTTAAAAGATGCATCTGGCTGCTTGTGGATGATGGTAGATATGCAAGAATGGGAGCAAGGGAACCAATTGTTTGGTATGCAGTTCTCCAAGAAGAGCATTTGCAGAGTTAGTCTTCATTATTGGTGATATGCTCTTACAAAAAGATATGTTGTATCCTCAAATGCTGGAGGCCATATACAAGATACCCGATCTCATGAACACATTGCCGTAGGGCATTGAAACAGTGCCAGGGGTCATGGCAAATACCCCAATCTCTTGATGTTTTATGTTTACTTGCTAATTATTGGTCTGTGTGACCTACTGGTCTCACAATTTAAACGTAAATTTTATGTGATTGACTACATATTGTGCATTAAATACTGTGGGCATTAATTTCCCCAAGAACCACTATTAATTCCATATCTGGGTTGATAATATAATAAAAATTGCCAGAAACAAATAAGGTATAGTAATAATGTAAAGTACTTTAAAAAATGTATGAATAGCAACTTTATTTTAAAACACCATTTAAAGTGCTAGAATTCCATTTTTCCTCTATTACCAAGATCACTTAAACTATAACTATCTGAGAATCTTTCATAGTTGAAAATATATGTCTGTAATATTAAGCTGAAAATTTTAAGAATTAATTTCCATCTGGGAATTCTTTGCAAACTAACTATATTTGAACTAGCAGTGCCAAGATAATGGCCATTAAAATAATAATAATGAGATCAATTCTAAGTATTCATCTTGATGGTGCCACAAAATTATGTCCAGTTTGTATATTTGTTTATTTAAAAATTACAGATGTGCTGCCTCTTAGGGTAAATGAATATGCTCATGCCTAGCCCTCAGCCTGCAATGTTTTCATTTATCTTTTATACTTGAAGAATTCAATATGAATTTTATCACATTTCATAGATTAATTTTAAAAATACTTTTTGAATTAATAACACATGGATCATCGCATTGATTTAGACACATTTCCAACTAGGTAGATATATTTTCAACTAGAAACTATTTTCTTCAATAAATTTCATATTCCTGTAAGTACTATGAATATTCAAAATGGTAACTTAAATTTTAAAAAAGTTTTTAAGTAATAATATTTAATGTTTAGTTTCTGATCATTTGTTTATATTCATTAGCTTTAAACCACATTTGGATAAATTCAGTTTTTCTATTCTTTATGTTATATTTCAGTTTTTAAGGCATAGTGCTTTTATTTTGCAGATTGTTGCCTTGCGTGAACAAAATGTTCATATACAAAGAAAAATGGCATCAAGTGAGGGGTCCACAGAATCAGAACATCTTGAAGGGATGGAACCTGGTCAGAAAGTCCATGAAAAGGTATGACACATACGACATGATTCTATATGGAAATGTTTACTTGGTTCATTTCACAGAAATATAAAATTCATGTGACAAACATCCTTTATTATTTTTTGATTTGTTGGTCAAAAGTTCATGACGATTTTTCTTTTCACTTATTGCTTTTAATTTGATTTTCTTAAAAATAATACACGTGTGGGGGCGCCTGGGTGGCTTAGTCGGTTAAGCGTCTGACTTTCGCTTAGGTCATGATCTCGCGGTTCCTGGGTTCGAGCCCCGCGTAGGGCTCTGTGCTGACTGCCAGCTCAGAGCCTGGAGCCTGTTTCAGTGTGTGACTCCCTCTCTTTCTGACCCTCCCCTATTCATGCTGTCTCTCTCTCTCCTAGAAATAAATAAATAAAAAAATAATAATAATAATACACGTGTGTATGTGCATAGATATGCATAGATTTGAATTTCTCATTACTTGCTGTTAAGTTAATTCTCTGAAATATAATTAAATTTCACATCTAATTGAACATATATGATTGAATAAATATATTTGTATAGATAGATATATCAATAATATACATCTAAATTTTTTTAAAGTACATTAACAAGAATTTTGATTTATAAGTATTATTATGTACAGTTGGTGACTAGTCTTATGGCTTATCACAGCAGAATTTTTGGTAATCTCCTATTTGATTTAGTATTTTCTGTGTGTTTAAGAAGGTCCTAACAGTACTTCTGTTAAAGACAAGTTATATAAAAGGATACCTGAGGTCTTGGGACTTAGAATGTTTTTGCAAAGGGAACGATTTTCCTTTTGGTGGGGCTTAGACCCAGGCTAAGAAAACCTAACAGTCTTTGGACCTTTTGTGGGCAAAACCATTTTTTCCGGCACAAAAGGAAGAAGGTAGGTAGGGATCAGATAAAGATTATATAGGCATTTGCATATTCAATGACAATAGACAATTTGCTAAATATTTGCCTTTACAAGATATATCTTCAGATTGCTAAACTCAAATGTAGAAACTAATTTAACAATAAACTATTTGTAAAAAAAAAAAAAAAAAAAAGATTGCTAAACTCTTTAATCATCAAGACTAAATGACTTTAAGTAGCTAAATTGGTGTCATTGTGAATGTCAAGAGGTTTCAAAACATAGAGATTAAGAAGCAAGTGACTGGACCACGAAACAATAGCACCAGACTTCTTACCAGAAAATAAATTGAACACTTCCTGAGTTATCCAGTTGAAACAAATAGAGGACTTCTTTTGTCTCCTGCTTCAAGTACAAAAGCAAAGGAAGCCAAGTAATCCAGAGTAATTTCCTGAGACTGCCATCAATTCTGGTGGCTGAAAAACAAATAGCTCTTAATTCAAGGCTTCGCTATTTTAGCCTTTATCCATGTACTTTATAAAAATCTCAAGCTGAGTTTTAAAAATAAACTAAAAATCTGACAGCTAGATTTCATGAGCTATATTTCAAATTTGAATAAAATTATTTCTCTTCCCTTCAGATAAATGAGTTGGCATTAATTCAGTAAACAAATCACTGAGTTCTTTAGAATAAAATGTTTGCACACAAAATTCAGTTTAGGAAACTAATGTAATTTTCTATTACTGTTTCATTTTAATTATGTCATCAGTATACCTTTTCTCAGAGAATTCTAAAATATACTTGTTTGAGTATAAAAATGGACTTTGTGGTCAGGCAATCTTTTCATAGAAATCTACAAAATATTGTGTTGGGTTTTTTTTTTAATATTTTTTTATTTATTTCTAGGAGAGAGAGAGAGAGAGACAGCGTGAGCAGGAGAGGGTCAGAGAGAGAGGGAGACACAGACTCTGAAATAGGCTCCAGGCTGTCAGCTGGAGAGTCAGCACAGAGCCCGATGCGGGGCTCGAACCGACAAACCGCGAGATCATGACCTAAGCGAAAGTNTTTTTTTTTTTTTTTTTTTTTTTTTTTTTTTTGCTAAAGTGTAATCTTTATTCTTTTTTTTTTTTTTTTACACAAATAGTTTATTGTCAAATTGGTTTCCACATAACACCCAGTGCTCATCCCCACAAGGGTTTTTTTTTTTTTTTTTTAACAATGCTGTATTTATGCTAATCCAGATTAGAATTAAAGAAATACGTCTTTTAAAGGAATAAGGCACTTGAGAGCTTGGGAGAGGGGCAAGTACTCACACACATATTTTTTTCAAATGTTGTTTTTTTAAACATATAACCCCTAAATATCCAGACATAATGGAATGTAAGACCATTCATGTCAGATTAACTTTCAGAAACTGGTTACAGGATTAGGATGAGGACCTATGTATAATAGATGTTTGAACGTTTATTTATTTATTTTGGGAGAGACAGAGAGAGTGCAAGCTGGAGAGGGACCGAGAGAGAGAATCCCAAGCAGGTCCCTCAGAGTCCCAAACAGGTCCCTCAGAGTCAGCACAAAGCCAGACATGGGACTCGAACCCATGAAACCACAAGATCGTAACTTGAGCCGAAATCAAGAACTAGACACTCAACCGACTGAGCCACCAAGGTGCCCTTGTATAATAGATGTTTGTCTCTCTTGAACTCCACAGACAAGGTGCATATATGGAGAATTCTGAGTAGATGGTGATGTAAAGTATTTATCTCTAATTTTCCTTGCCTTCTGGTTCTTGGAGAAGGCATTTCAGCCAGTATAGAAGGGAAATTCTGTACTATTGCTAACTTACTCACTCTTCCTGTGGATGTAACTAAAGATTTTTAAAGATTGTAATTATTAGTATTTTTTAAAATTTTCCATAATTGTAGGAAGAATGATTTCCAAACACTTTGAAATGCTGATATACTAGTATTGTTTAAAATATCATGCTCCTATTCTCCTCCAGTATAAACCTAAAATATATATCATGCATATGTATTTTTCTAATTTAAAAATAACTACTTGATTCAATTCATATTACTCCTGAGATGATTCAAAAAAGTATTTTGAGTTTTTTTGTTTTTTCTGTATTGAAATATCATTGACATACAATATTATATTAATTTCAGGTGTATAACACAGTAATTCGATATTTATATACCTTACAAAATGATCACCATGATAAATCTAGTGACCATCTGTCTCCATACAAAATTTTTACAATATTAATAACTACATTCCCTATGTTGTACATAATATCCCCATGTCTTATTTATTTTATAACTGGAAGATTGTACTTCTTAATTTTCTTCATCTATTTCATCTATTTCCCAACCCCCTAACCCTGGCAACCATCAGTTTTACATTTAGTCATTCATTCATTCATTCATTCATTCATATCACATTTCTTTGCCTGCCATTTCTTTTTTTCCAATTTTATTGAGATATAATGGACATCTAACATTGTGTAATTTTAGGTATACAGCATGATGATTTAGTATATACATATATTGTGAAATAATTACCACAATAAGATTAATTAACATATTTGTTACCTGACTTAGTGACCTTGTGTCTGTGTCAGCATTTTAGATTTACTCTCAGCAACTTTTAAGTATATAATACAATACTGCTGATAATAGTCACCATGCTTTGTTAGATTCCCCACAATATTCTAACTGCTTGACATTTATGGATAAAATATTAAATAATATCCTAATCATTACAGTTCTCATCCTTGTATAAATATGCCTAACTTACATAACTATAAAGCATCTTTCCTTTATTATCCTCTAAAACATGATTATTTAAAATGTATCAATAGCATGGGATAACAAGTGTTATAAGATTGTAATTTAAATTCTACCACTTAATTTTTTGTTGAGAATTGCTTAAAGTATATTCAAACAAGAAAAGAAATATTATTTTGGACAGTATCTATGCAATTAAGATTATCAGTGTAGGATGACTGTAGTATTAGTGTGTAAATTAGAAAGCAGTTGTTGGGGAAAAATACACAAAACTGTTGTTAGATACTGTAGAACTGTCAGAAAGTGCCTTGTAAATCCTAGTCACAAGGATTACCCCTTGTTTAGGGTAGTAAAGTTACTTAAATTACAGAGTCAGGGTGGATTATTAGCCAACAGATGCTTTATGTCAGTGGCTTGAGAACTCTGTTGACAAAATAGTTGATAAAAATAGTCTTATAAAAGCACAGTCTTTAACAGGCCTTATTACTCACAGAAAAGCTGTGTAATTATTGTCAACATTTTAAAAACAAAAAATTAAAAGGAAAAAAATAAGCTTGACTGGAACTCATTTAAATTTGTGGGACACAAATTTAATCAGTTCTAAAATAACATAAATACTCATAGGATAATAAAAAATTTCAGAACACTAAATTTTACCTCATTAAAAGTTCAGAACTGGGCTCAGTAACTTTCTTCCTATTGCTTTCTAGAAGGGAATGAATTTGTGAAATGTTTGTAGTAAACACACTGCTCTTGTAAAGGAGTTAATAATGCTCCTGACTTATATATTCTGAAATTCCAATTACTTTTTGCAGCTACAAATATTTGCTAAGTGATATGGATAACTAGACTGTTAGACACTGGTAGAGGTTCAGAAAACATAGTATCTGTTAATAAATTTGCTGAGAAACTAGAGTGAACAATAAGCATGCCCAACTTACTATGTCAAAACAAGATAAATAAGTAGTGTCAAAAATTATCTTAGAGTTTAATGGATAGATAAATGAATTGTGATGGGAGGTGGTAGAGAGGCACCATGGAGTAGTGATTCAAATTCCATCTCTGCCAATTACCAGCTGTGTGACCTTACGCTTTTACCTCCCTGAGCACTACTTACCAGTAAATACCTAAGTTACAGCTTTGTTATAAAGAGTAGAGACACTGACTATGAATAACAAAACTCTTGGCATATTGATTACAAGCAATAAATAGTGTGGTTATAATAATGGTTAATTCTGTGTTTTCATTCATTTTTTTTCCAATAAATATTTAGTGGCAACTAAATGGTGCTAGAATAATAAGTCCTGGTCTAGGTAGTTGGACCATGGTAACGAACCAGGCAGGTAAAGGCACAGGCAATAAACAAG